TTCATGTTCACCATAAAACCGGCTCCGGCTGTATGATCTAGACCACTTCTGGAAATGACTCGGCTTAGGTTAAATCAAGGATGGTTTAAGCAATAATAACATAAAAAAAAAATATTTTTAAAATTGACGTAAATTCCTGACCGTATCAGCTAATGTTAGATGCGGTAGCTATGCAGTAAAATAATAATTAAATAGTGTTGTTAATTTGCACAGAGGATTCTTTAATATACCAAAGCTTTACATGTATTTTAAACATGCATTCGCGTTTAAGCTGACATAGACGCACAATATGTTTAAGCGTAAAATGGTGTGACCATGGGCGCGAACGCGCTTCTCCGAAGAACAGATTGCGTGAAAGCGGTAAGGCAGCTTTGAAAAGCTGTCTATGGAAAAATCTACAGAAAAGTTTGGGCCCATGGAGGGACTATCATTGGATACCACCTGATGAATTTTGTTTTTCTAGCGCCTCATATTCATTGTATAATAGTCTTCTTTGAAATGTGTAGGACTACCCTGAAATGTTTTGTTTACATTCCAGATTGATTATAAAGGCCAGATGTTGTCAGCAATTACTAGGCTGGTAATGAGCAGAATAACCTATATTTAACAACTGCCATCATTATTTGATTCAAGACCACTTGAGAACACCTAAAGTTTTATATTTATTGAATATAATTTATGGAATTCTACTTTAAAATAGCCTAGTTTTTTCAGATAAAGTTCAGCGTAGTGATGCATCATGCACAGTTCACTTCTCCATCATCTATTGTGATATCTGTCATTGTTTCTACAGTGCGTCACCTCTCGTCACTACCGGATAAATTAAAATGGGCAAAGAGGCGGGACGCGGGTGGAGCTGAGGTGCTAATGCTATGCTACTGCCGCTGAATTGACAGCTGATTGAAAAAGTAAAGCCAATGGTTAAAGTTCATGTTTTGCCTTCGAAATATTATAATAGTTAAGACGTAACTAAAAGTGAGGACTATTTACTTTACTTTTTTTATATCAACTTTATTAATCTCACACAAGGGGCAATTAGTTGAGAGCACAGTACATTAACACAGATCACACACATTTCTCACACCATACAAGCAGTCAACTATGTGCATCGTGAATGCATTCCAGATAGCAAACTGACATTGAATCAACGTGGAAATATGACATTGAAACAACGTTTGATCTGACATTGTTTTGCTCATCGAATTAACGTTGAACCAACGTCAGACGCGTCATTGCTTTTCAAAACTAACGGAAAATCAACTTGAAATCAACGCGTTGTTTCAACGTTATGAAAGCAAACCAAATTTTCGATTTCATTTAGCTTTGAAGAATGCCGCGTCTGACGTTGGTTCAACGTTAATTCGATGAGCAAATCAACGTTGTTTCATGTCCATGAGAGAAGTCGTTTCCACGTTGATTCAATGTCAGTTTGCTGTCTGGGTTGTTATTCTGCTAGTTAAAAATGTATTAATTACTTACAATATTGCTCTAAGCTTGTGCATGTGACAGTGATTCAAGGCCGCCTCTCAGTTTCTCAGATGGTCAAACCAAAGATATTACCTCAGAACTTCAAGAACATGAACTAGAAATCCGCGCTCATTCAAAGCGCTGAAATCATCAGACATCCATTAGTGCATGCGAGGGAAACAGCTGGAAACACGGCGCTGGTCGTTCTCTCCGTACTCGACACGACGGAATCCAACGGCGTGCACGGGCGAAGGTATAATACATGTATTAAATTGTATGAAATAATCCCGGAAAAGCACAAACACAGCTGAGGGTGACGTTAACAGACAGCAGACAAACGACTAGCAGTGAAAGCGGCGGCAAGAATCCACCTGTCACTCAAGTGGCCACGCCCTTAATTATGCAGAACTTTAAGGCTTAAATATAATTTAAACAGATGAGTTGTAAAAAAAATTTACCCCCCTCACAGTTGTCATGAAGGGAAAAATGAGCTCTATAGACCAAAGCCACTTTTTGCTCCAGACTGTAAACATGTTTTTTTCTGCTGTAAAGTTGGGCATTTTAACATGGGGGAGATTCAGATTTGAGCGGCCACTCGATAAATTGCAGTTTTAATTCACTTCCGTGTTGGCTTCAAGAGAGAGACGGGGAGGTTGCCGCTTGGTCTGGATAGGCATGATATTAAATAGTTGTAATAAACTACTGTTGCTAACATATTTATTCCGGCCCAGGTTTCTATTTATTCATTGATTTTTCTTCTTCTAACGTGACTCTGGTTATAACGTTAGCGTATTATGACCGTTCTAAAAGCTTGGCTTTTATTTTGATAGGCCATATTTACTATTACTTCCGGGTCACGTGGCCAACCTGTAGATCTTCAAACGGAAAATGGTAAAGGAATTTAAAAAAAAAAACAAAATCGGAACGTTTTCGTTTTTGGATTCAGAACCAAAAACTGGAAAAACGGCTCTTTTTTTACGGTTTCTTTGTTTTTGGTTTGAAAACGACAAACGAAAAAAGGGTGGTTTCTCGTTATTTTGTCTCTTTTGTTTCAAACGAAAAAAACAAACTATCAAAACGTACACGTACCGACTTGGCATTTTGATAGTTCTGTATTCATTTGGCCATTTAGGTGCGCAACCAAAAAGCTAATCAAATGATCGATCTCCTAACTTGCACTGTTTGTTGGCGGCGTCACGGCGACCATCAGTAAACGTTATGGATACAAACAATATTTTATATTTTTTATTAAGCTGTTCATGTCTTTACTAAAATCTAAATTAGATAATCAAAGGGAAGATTGCTCTTAAAACTCACGAGCTGGAGCGATTTGACCGAACGTAATAGACTCGCTGTTTTTGCTGATGGTGAATCGTCTTTAGCATACAATGCATTCTTTACAAACGTAACTAAGTAAACGCGTGTTTAAACAACACCTAGGGAACTCACTTCACCTTCAGAGGTTCTGAGTCTCTCCAGTCTCTCCAATCGTGCAGGGCCTTCTCGCTGCGCTGTGTGTGTGTGTATTTGTTAGAGCACGACAGCGGACGCCGCTGCTGCTTTTAGCTCCACGTCGAATCAGGGGAGGGGCTAATAATATGAAGGTATATTTGTTTCTTTATTATTCAATCAAAAAAACTATTTTCAATTAAAAAAACCTTCACTTCACTGGAAAAAAAAAAACTTTTCAATCAAAGAAAAAAGTGTTTGAATTCAAAAATATATTTGAGACTAAAAAAAAATACATTTGAACACTGCTTTTCTTTGATTGAAAATGTTTTATTGGATAGAAGTCCGTTTTTTTGTTTAAAGTAACCTTTTTAATTAAAGTAACA